TTGTGAAGCCGGCATTAGCCTAGACGATACGTGCACGATATGTGTGTTTAAAATGGAACGAAGTACACAGCCGGCAAGAAAGAAGAGAAAGCCGCGTAGATGGAAAATCGAGCGGGAGAGCACACTCGAGGGAGAAAGTGTTCAAAGCGTAAAGACGTAACGAGTGAGAGACAACATATGTTTCATGCGTCGCGTCGCCGCGAAAGAACGGCTATTTTCTGTTACGTTAAAAACGAACCCGATCCGTGAGAGGATTTCCCCGGGTTTTATGATCGACTCACTGTGGAAACGATTTCCTCTGACATCTTACGGTAATCACAACCTATACCTGCCTCGATTATTATAATGGAGCAATCGATCTCGTAAACAATTAGACGAGAAAAAGTTTCCAAAGTGTGATCGATTTTCAATTAAATGATAACTGCGTGCATATTCGATCTCTTGCATAGTCTTAATTACTTGAAAGTTGAATTTTAACCAACAAGAATAAACCAACGTTTCTGAAAATGTCTAATGCACATCGAGGAGACTTTTGTTGCATAACAATGGAATCTCTTCGATCTTCTCGGATTCCAGTTCATTGTCATCAGGCGATTCTTTTTATTAATCAAGCGGGTGTAACTCTAGCAGAAAGATATTCCTCTTAATTGCCTCTTAACTGCAACTCACACACGGAAACGAAATTCACTGGCAGAGTACTGCCGACGAGTAAGAGGACGAATAGATTTTACAATTGAAATTTTTCACATCCTAGCGATATATATACGCGTTGAAATGAATCGTTCGTTCCGCGAACAAAAGTAGAACGATCACAACGTGCGAAGCGTGAGCGGGCGAGAAGGAGGGGGAAAAAAGAAAAAAATGGAAACGCGGATTTGGACGTTGCGCGTTGATAAGCGATTAATATTTAAAAAACGTGGAAACGAGACGCGTCCGGTGTTAATGTTTCATTCATCGCGCCGGGTGTGCCAGTCTGTATCATCGTTTCGATGAATAAATCATATTGAGCTAACAGCCCGAAAGAAACCCATCGAAGGGAAGGGGTTGAATTAACCAGCCCCGCGATATCCATCCCCCCCCCCCTGTTCTTTATTTCGTTTTAACGAACTGCGGATTCTATTCGGATTCTATAGTCCGAATTTATGGCAGTCCGACGATCCTCGCTTATCCACTTTTCTGCCGAACGCCGACCGATAAAGTTACATACAGTGAATTGCAAATGATATCGTCCGAGTTTTCCCATCGATCGATAATCGGTATGGCAGCGAGAAGCATTCGCGCATTACGCAATCGAGAGCGCCGACTAATCGCGTTTTATTATTATGTGTATTTCTTGTTACAGGTGGTAGTGGAGAGCTCGACCCTGGCCCTGGAGTACGGGGACCTGGAGATCGATCCAGATTCCCCGGTGAACCCGGACCTGTTGTTCGACTCGCAGCTGATGCACCTGTACGTCATGACGCAGAAGACTGTGTCGAAGGTGAAGGTGCAGGAATGCTCGGTGTACAAGACCTGCCTGGACTGTCTCGGTGCCAAGGATCCGTATTGCGGCTGGTGCTCGCTGGAGAACAAATGCAATCTGCGCAGCGATTGCCAGGACGCAGCCAAGGACCCGCTCTATTGGATCTCGTACAAAAGCGGCAGATGCACCACCATCACAACCGTCACGCCGGACCAGTTACAACGGACGACCGCCAGAACGTTGGAGTTGGTCATCGAGAATCTACCGACCCTCTCCGGACAGTTTCTCTGCGCGTTCTCCACCCTGGACAAGACACTGATCACCAACGCCTCGAGGAAATCGTTCGGCGTGAATTGCACCACGCCCAGAACCGATCTGCTGCCGTCTATCCCGCAAGGGGAGCATCACTTCACCGCGAAACTTTCAGTTCGAATGACGAACGGGCCTGACCTCGTCGACACCAATTTCACGTTCTTCGATTGCAACACGTACAGCTCGTGCACCAAGTGCGTGTCATCGAGCTTCCCCTGTGACTGGTGCGTCGACGGGCACAGGTGCACCCACGACACGGCTGAGAACTGTCGGAACGATATATTGGTCACCGGAGTTAGCGTAAGTGGAGCTTCTCGTCTAATGGTTATGGAACGATGGTTATTGGTCATCTGGGGACCGGTTACTGGTTACCCAGTCATCGGATATATGTTCTTCGCGGAATTTCGAGTTTGAAATCCTCTCCCCTTAGATTTGAAACCAATCGATTCTCTCGTCCGTGTTCACAGAGAACGGGCCCGAGCTACAGAAGCGGCCCGGCGTTCTGCCCGACGTTGAACGCGACTGATTCTCAAGAGATCTTGGTGTCTTCCGGCGTGAAGAAGGTGATACGAGTTAAAGTGCACATCATCGGGGTAAGTAACGTTAGGATCCTGGCTGCTCATTTTTCTCCCGTATAGAATCCCTAAATCCCTAAAAACACGCTGACATCGGCGGGGCTATAATAATAAGGCCCCGTACGCCTTTTTGCGTCTCGTTAGCCAGCCTTTCACGCAGGCGGATAAAGAGAAAGAAGGGAGAATCGCGTTGTCGCGTCGTGGGGGGAAGAGAGGGGAAATGGTCTCCGTCCCCGGGGATGATTGACGCGCTAACATCTATGCAAAACATTGCCTTTCCAGCAATTCATCGTGCAGACCCGGTTCGTCTGTCAGTTCAACATAGAAGGTCGTGTGACGATCGTGAACGCTCGGCTGCTCGCGGACACGATTTATTGCGAGGAGACAGAGTTTTCGTACACGTCCCGCGCGCCCAACATCACCGTGCCGTTCGCGGTGATCTGGGGCGGCTCGAAACCTTTGGACAACCCGCACAACATCCATCTGGTGATATACCGGTGCCGCGACATGGCCGACAACTGCGGAATGTGCCTGACCCTGGCGCCCAAGTACGACTGCGGATGGTGTCAGAGCACGGACAGATGCGAGGTGAAGGACAACTGCGAACGCAACACCGGCATGTGGTTGAATAGCAACCAGACCTGCCCGAATCCCGAGATACACTCGTTCGAGCCGGTTATGGGACCTTGGGAAGGTAACACGAACGTGACGATACGCGGCATCAACTTGGGTCAGACGTTCATGGTGAGAGTTCACTCACAAATTTCATGCTACTTACAAGAGAACGAATTATTGCGTAGAATGTATGCTCTCTCTCGAGAAACCGATGAAATATCTACGATAATTTTGGAAAAGGAATATCGAGTCGAAACAATATATTGGATCCGAAATCTGTTATTAGAATAAAGTCTTTCTTTTTTTATTTTTAGGACATCTATCGCGGCGTGATGGTCGGTGGATTACCATGCCTGCCGTATCAGGAGCTCTACATGCGCACAAAGCAGATCGTCTGCCGGGTGGACGGTCCAGGTACACCGGAGGGGAAACGCGGGCCGGTAATCGTGAGAATCGAAGACTTTAGGGGCCAATCGGAGTACAACTTCGAGTTCGTGGATCCTCAGATTCTCTCGATATCGCCGAAGTATGGACCGATGAGCGGTGGCACCACCGTGAGGATCACCGGCAAATACATGAACGCTGGCAGTACGATCAAGGCCTTCATCGACGAGTTACCGTGCTCCATAATCAGCGCAGAGATGAACGAAGCGCTCTGCATGACCAGCGCTAGCGACCACAAAAGAAACGGCACGGTGAAGATGACGTTCGACGGGGCTTTCCGAATTTACAGTGGAACGTTCGAGTACGCGGACGATCCGACGATCGAAAGCGTGGAGAGCGGCGTCGCCGGCCAGATGAAAATTCCAAAGGGCATCCCGGCAGGAGGAATAAAGATCTCGGTGACTGGGAAAAACCTCGGCTACATTCAGAGTCCGCAGATGTACGTGTACCACGACGAGAAGATGTTCGTATCGCAGTGCGAGGTGCATAGCCAAGAGAGCATGATCTGTAAATCGCCGACCATCGAGGTGCCAGACAACGTTGTCCTGGACGCGGAGAAACCGTTGATGCTGGAATACGGCTTCCGTATGGACAACGTGACAGGCGTGCAGAATCTGTCGCAACACGGATTCAACCATTTTCTCCTCTATCCGAATCCTATATACGAGGTGTTCGACGAAGAGATCAAGTATTACAAGAGCGACTACCTGACCATCAATGGCCAGCATCTGGATCGTGCCTGCCAGGAATCAGACGTGACGGTGCAAATAGGAAACGCGTTCTGCAACGTTACCTCGCTGTCGAGGCAACAGCTCACCTGCAGGCCACCTCTGACACAACCGCCAGCCATCGATTCCGATGGTTTCCCAAATAAGCAAGAACTGCCCGAGGTGATCGTGATCGTGGGCGGCACGCTTCGTTACAACATAGGGAAACTCAGCTACGCACTGCCAGCCGGTCTTAACGGGCCGCTATCGAAACCAGCTCTCATCGGGGTGATCGCCGCCATTGTCATCTTGGTGTTCGTGTTCATCGCCTTCCTCATTGCGTACCGGCGCAAGTCCACCGAGAGCAATCGGGTACTGAAGAACATGCAAGAGCAAATGGATATTCTGGAACTTCGTGTGGCGGCCGAATGCAAGGAAGCGTTCGCCGAGTTGCAAACTGAGATGACGGATCTCACGGGCGACTTAACCAGCGGTGGTATACCTTTCCTCGATTATCGAACGTACGCCATGATGATATTGTTCCCGAGCGACGACAATAGCCCGGTCCTGCAATGGGATCGACCGGAATTGGCACGCAAAGAGAAAGGACTGCGCTTGTTTGGACAACTGATAATGAATAAAACGTTCTTGCTCCTCTTCGTACGAACTCTCGAGAGCAATCGATACTTCTCGATGAGGGACAGGGTGAACGTAGCTAGTCTTATCATGGTTACGCTTCAGAGTAAGATGGAATATTGTACAGATATCCTGAAGACCCTTTTGGCAGAACTGATTGAGAAATGTACGGAAGGAAAGAGCCATCCGAAACTCTTTCTTAGACGGTAAGCTCAACGTCCTCGTCGGACAATCGATTATTCGTTATTTCTATTGGATGACGATACAATCCGTTTTGTATTTCAGAACGGAAAGTGTCGCTGAAAAGATGTTATCAGCTTGGTTCACTTTCCTCCTGTACAAGTTCATGCGAGAATGTGCCGGAGAACCATTGTACGTACTATTTCGCGCGGTAAAACAACAAGTCGATAAGGGTCCTGTCGATGCCATCACGTCCGAAGCGAGATATTCACTGTCGGAAGAGAAGCTGATCAGACAGTCCATTGACTTCAAACCAATGGTAAAGTTCGTTATCCTGATGGATCTTTATAATATAATAAATTCTTCTCTTTCCTGTCACGACTTTCTTCTCAATTCACAAAAATTAACGCCTCTTTTTTATAGACGGTTTACGTGTCTATATCTCAACAAACGGTCTTCGTCGGTGGTATGGATCCAAATACAGAAAACGTTCCAGTCAAGGTTCTTGACTGCGACACGATATCTCAAGTGAAGGAAAAGGCATTGGACACGATCTACAGAGCTACTCCTTACAGCCAAAGGCCAAGAAAGGACGATCTTGATCTTGGTAAGATTTCAAGCTCATTTTAATAAACTTTTAATAAACATGTTGTACACGTACGGTACAAGCTGATACAATATGATATAATATGGTATAAGCGATCTAACGTGTAATTGCTGCAACAGAATGGCGAACTGGAGCATCCGGCAGATTGATCCTCTACGACGAGGACTCGACAACAAAAACGGAAGGCGAATGGAAGAAACGAAACACGCTGAACCATTACAGAGTACCGGATGGAGCGTCGCTCAACTTAGTCTCCAAGCAATCGTCGATCTACAATCTATCGATCCTCTCCGAGAAGACGGACAAATCGCACAAATACGAAACTCTAAACCTTAGTAAATTTAGCTCAGCCAGTCCTCCGTTGTCGCGTGCCACCTCGCCGTTAAATCAAAATCACGACGGTGGTTTGAAATGTTGGCATCTCGTCAAGCACCATGACTCGGATGCACGAAAGGAAGGAGACCGTGGAAACAAAATGGTGTCAGAGATCTACCTAACGAGGCTACTAGCCACGAAAGGTACTCTACAAAAGTTCGTCGATGACCTGTTCGAAACAATCTTTAGCACTGCCCATCGAGGATCAGCTCTTCCCCTCGCGATCAAATACATGTTTGACTTCATGGACGACCAAGCACTGCAGCACGGCATATCCGACCCTGAAGTCGTACACACATGGAAGAGCAACTCGCTTCCGCTCAGGTTTTGGGTGAATCTCATTAAGAACCCGAACTTCATCTTTGATATACACAAGTCCAACATCGTGGACTCGTGTCTATCCGTCGTCGCGCAAACCTTTATGGACAGTTGTTCCACTTCCGATCATAGATTAGGTACGTGTCTAGTGTGTTTCTCTTGGAATCCTATAAAACTTTTCCATTGAATCTCGAACGTCGATGAGATTGTCTTCTTTTCTATTTCACTTGTAGGTAAGGACTCGCCGAGTTCTAAACTACTTTATGCAAAGGACATTCCAGTGTACAAAGAGTGGGTAGAACGTTATTATGCAGATATCAAAGTGATGCCAGCCATATCCGATCAAGACATGAACGCCATGCTTGCCGAAGAATCTAGGGTATATATATATATATTATATATCTCGTTTCTATTTCTCCCGATTCTATTTAATTAATGTTTAGCCTAACTAAAATTACGATCATTGTTAATTTCTACTTTTTAGTTGCATACGACGGAGTTCAACACGAATTGTGCCCTGTACGAATTGTACACGTACGCGAGTAAATACAACGAACAGCTGATAGTCACTCTGGAGGAAGACGAGTTTTCACAGAAGCAAAGATTGGCATACAAGCTCGAACAGGTACACAATATAATGGCGGCGGACAACCCCTGATGTACCATGAACTCTATGAAGCATATGACAAAGCCCGCCCGCCAAGAGTTGCCCTGCTGAATACTCTACTGCAGTTAGGTACTCTTAATGAAGCACCAAGAGGACTGGCCTATGTTGTAATCGATCGTCTCAGGTTTCCGTGCAAGCCAGTTATCTCAGCTTAGTACGCGAATTATTAATACAAGAAGAAATTACGGACCGCTAAACAATATATTCGAACGAGAGAAGTATAAAAAAAAAAAAAAAAAAAGAAAAAAAAAAGAAAATAAATGTCTACGAGGACTGAAGTGTTTCTGTGACAAAGTCTTCTGAACTTGGTCGCTGGCTGGTAGGTGTGTGGCGGTAATCACAGCGGCGCATCGTCACGCATAATTGTATATAAAATACCAAAATCACGATTAATTGTAATGGAATTATCGACGTGCATCCCCCACACCGCCCGGCGGCCACGCAGCCACGCATAAGAGATGAAAACTGTGAAATCTTTCGCGCGCTATGAAATCACCGTGGCGACGCGATTTGTACGCCGCGACAGGCGGATAGGGTTTTAAAACGAACGAAAAGGAAAAAAAAAACAAAAAAATAATAGGACATTAGTGTTATAAGTGAGTGAACGAATCAGCCGATCAAGCCGATAATCTGTAAATGTGTTTAAAACGGCCGATACTCGCCGCCGCTATCGGTGATCGGCGATTTTTAACGAAGAAACATTTCCATCCACCGCTACTAGCTGAAATTTTTTTGAATTACGAACTGACGAATTTTAATAAATAAGATAATTAACGATTAACGATGATTAATTAAACAATATGGGTATATTATATATACATGGATGGTATGTCGTATGTATATGTGTACATATATACACTTTATACCGGCGCAAAAGTATGTGTGTATGTATATGCAGTATCCGGAAAACAAGCGCGCGTACAGTATAGGCGCCGATGCCGAGATGTATCTCTCGTGACAAATTGATCACGATTGAAGAGCAAAGAGAGAACGAGCAAAAAAGATGAGAGTAATACAAAAAAGAGAAAAAGAGAAAAAAAAACAAGAGGCAATAGCAATTCTTGTCCAGAATTTGTAAACGTGAGCTTTTTTTTCAGCATCGATCGTCTACTGACGCCATACTGTACGTACGCCATGCATTACGCGTATTATTTATACTTACATGCATCCAAAACGGAGAAAAAGGAAGAAGTCATCCGCGAAATCGGAGACAGACTGTGTATTAGGTGATAGGTATTAATCTATGGACTATGGCCGCGCGCGAGGCCAGCTCGATGTGACGGTTGTGTTGAGTGTGCGTGCTTCCCCTCCTTGGTCTCCAGCTCATTGTTCCCATTTTATCATTAATCGTTCGTTCTCATCGTCGTGCATCCCATCACCTGGTATTCACTTGATCATTGTCGCGCAATCCATGTTCATCGTCAGAGAGAAAAAAGAAAAAAAAAAAAAAAGCGTCCCTCATTATCCTCGTGTCATCATTACCTCTCTTTGTATTACATGTAGTAAAGATGTCCACTGTCGGCGCCTCTTCTACCCTTTCTCATCATTCCTAAGAAATCACAATTGTGCCACTCTCTCTTCTCCCTTGTAATGCTTCAACGCCTCCGTCGTCATGTTGTTGTCACTCTTAATTATTGTAATATATAATGAATAACGATCACTGTTGAGTATTGTCTGATTGTAATACATTGATATTGAATTGATATGAATTGATAATCATTAATTAAAGCGTAACATTAAACTCTGTGGATGTAGCCATATTGGCATGGATGGAAGTTTAAAACAATTGATACAGATGAGAGTGACTGAGAGCCGTTCGCGATAGACAGCACTCAAAAATCCTCTTTGTTCTGAGAACATTTTACCTGCGCGTCAT